CTTTAAAGTCTCCACCACCACACTGCAGAACTAGACCCTTCAGGCAAGGGAAAGACACACTCAGGGGCGGGCCCTGGGTCCATGGCTGCCAGCTGCCTCTGCAGCTGTGCAGGCTTTGAGGAGGGGACACTTGGTCACACCCTCCAGGGACCAGATGGAAGCCTGCCCCTTCCATCCCTCCATCAGTGGAGCCCTTTTATCCTCTATAGTGGATATGTGTGGCCTCGGGGCACCAGTACATCCTCCAGAAACACATCACTCAGTCATCTGCAAGGAGAGTGGAGGAAAGAGGCATCGCTCTCTGCCCCACTACCCCCACCTTCGCACTGCCAAGACCACCGTGACTTGGTGGTCAGGCTCGCTGCTTCCTCCGCTATACCCTCAGTGAATGGCAAATAACTTAGTTCTGAAAGAAGAAAAGCATTTTCCTGAGAGAGCCACTCAGTGCAGCCTTCTTCCCTTTTCTGGTTCCAGAGGTAATGAGCTAAGGGCCCTGACTGTGGCCCCGGAGCTTGGTCACCTGCCAGTCCCAGGCCTGAAGATCTATACTCCTAGCTTGGGGAGCAGGAGTTATAGTCCCCATTTCCTGTTTCCAACAGAAGACAGGGACACCAAAGGCTGATAGACAACCCACAAGGCAACCCACTTGGTCCAAGCTAAGGAAGGCTCAGGCAATAGACCAAGAAGAGTAATGAATTAAAATGAAAATTCAACATCTCATACCCATTAGGATAGCTTTTATTAAAAATCAGACAATAAGAAAGCAAGGATGTAAGACTTATGCACAGCTGATGGAATTTGTAGTAAAATGTAGTCACTATAGAAAATGGAACAGTGGTTCCTCAAACTTTTAAAAATAGAATTAACATACGACCCAGCATTTCCACTTCTATATATCTGCCCAAAAGAAATAAAATCGTGGATTGCTCTTGGAGGGGCCCCTTGGGAGACTGAGGTCGCTATGTGGGGCGTCTGCTCTGTATGCAACACGTCCAGAGCGTGGTTCCAGGGACAGGACTCCAAGCTCGGTGGATGACCTTGCAGGACAGACCCAAAGCTCCGCGTGTGAACCTCAGGACAGGCCCGCACTGGCTCCTTCCAACAGCAAGACTCAGGCTTTGGGGGTCCAGGAACTGAGCAGCTAGCGCCACTCGGTGGAGCCGCTCACTGCTGCAGCCTTAGGGAGGCCAGGCCTCCGCATCAGAAGGTTCTGTTACCTTCTCTTTCCCCTACAATGCAGGAAGGCACCGGAGCCCATTGGGAAAACAAAGAAGGGTGAAAACAAATCAGTGAGGGTGATGTAATTGCAGAAGTGATCTGTTTGAAGTTGATAAAGTCACTGTCGGATCTGAGCACCGGCAAAAGTACTTGTTGCTGAAGGAGCCAGAGACGTTCCAGGTGGAGCTATCACTTGTATCACACTCAGAAAGGCTGAGGGTGTTAAGGCCTTTACAAATCACAGTTGAGTTCCTCTGCAGTGGCCACCTCACAAGCAGGCCCGGGACTGACACTCATTGCTGCTGCTTCACCACCTACACCTCCTTCTGCTCAGGCTCCTGGTAGCTCGCATCCTACTCGCCGGCAGGTATTTCTTCCTGCCTCTCTCCTAACGTGACCGTGGCCACAGTTCAGAGATGGGGAAAAAGTGGGTGAGAAGCTAAGTGAAGGAGACTTGTTGGCAGGTAAGAGACTGACAAGGACACTATAGGTTTTGAAGTACAGGAAGGAGATAACCTTTTTCCAGATACGGAAAAAATCCTGGTCCCTGAGGGCACAAGAAACGTTCCTCTAGGGACCCCAGTTTGAATCATTGCAGAAAAGGGCAGATATGGCAGCACTGGCTGACTACAGGCCAACCGAGTACAGCAACTGATTTAAAACCACAAGCGCCAGCACCGATCCTACCCTTGGTGGCCACTGAAACCCTATACCCTCAGTCACTCCTGCTGTACCAGCTGCTGCTGCTGACCCAAGGGAAGGGTGTTACTTAGAGAAAGAGATGCGCCATACTCCAGTGAAAGGGAAGGGGCCAGATGCAGAATCATCAAAAAGGACATTGACTCTTGTGCCTCCTAAGGCTGCCCCTGCCCCAGCAGCTGCTGTACCTCCCCCAGGTTGAGGAGTGGCTCCAGTTCCCACAGCTGTCTTCCCAGACACCCCTGTCAGCAGCCTTTGCCCAGTTATTATGCAGTGGCTCATGCAATCAAAGCAGACGCTATGCCATGACTGCCTTTCTACGGATGTGAACATGGAAGAAGTTTTGTTGGTATGGAAAGAACTTAGTAAATGCTAGAGGAAAAGAGCAAAATTTCTGTCAATGCCCTCATCGTGAAAGCTTCAGCTCTGGCATGTTTAAAAGTTCCTGGAGCAAATTCTTCTTGGACAGACACAGTTGTAAGACAAGAGTCATGTTGTTGTCGGTGTTGCTGTCAGTACTTGTACAGCACTTATCACACCTGTTGTGTTAAATGCTCCTTTTTAAAAACCTGGATGGGCCAGGGATTGGGCTCAGTGCCTCCCCTCACTGCCTGCCTTGAAAGTGCAAGGTCCCGAGTTCGATCCCTGGTACCAAAACAAACAAATAAACAAAAAATCCTGAAAACCATTGCTAATGTTTCTTTAGCAACCAAAACAATCACATGAGTTTCAGGGTGGGACTTTTATAATCTCCAATTTAGGAAGGTTTGGAATTAAGAATTGCCCTGTGATTATTAACCCACTTCCAGCATGTACTTTACCCAAGAATTTCTAGACTGTATTGTGTCGTGTTGGCTCATTCTTATTCTGGTATTTATGTTATTAAACACAAGTTTCTTTTAAAGCTCACCAGTTATTTTTATTGAGTATTTCCAAATAGAGTAGTTGTAATGGCATTACTGAATTTTTAATGCCAATCATACCCAGATATTGTTCACATTTGATGATTAAACTCCAGATCATAAGCCGCACACTTCTAGGAAGGGAACATACACTAGCCTGGTGATAAGCACTTCCTGTGGGGGACACAGGACTGGCAGAGCTGTGCTTCTCTAGAGACACGGACAAAAAGTTGATGAAACTTTGCAGTTCAAAATCTAATTGCCAGGGCTGGGGATTTAGCTCAGTGGTGTCACTGCCTGCCTCTCAAGTGCAAGGTCCCGAGTTCAATCCCCAGTACAAAAAAAAAAAAAA